GATGATGTATAAATCTCAATTTCGAAAAATTGACCCTTATGACTGGTTTTGTGGTCCAGGGTCACATTTCACATATGTTTTTGTATTTACAAATATATAAATAAAAATTTGAATAAAATAAAAATTAGCAACTAATTCATTCCATATTTTTTCGAAGTGGAGCGCTGAAAAGTCTCCTGTTTGATGTGGTCCTAAAGACGTTCTGCGTCTAAATAAACGCAAATCTTGTCAAGAAAAAAAAAAGAGACACAGAAGCTGCAGTTTTGAGTGGAGTGACCAACCCTAGCTCTGCCCCTGCATTAAATATTTTTAACACATTTAAACTGGGAAAATTAATCACCTGTGTTAACAAGCTAACTTTGATATTGAAGGGGGTCTGAATACTTTCCGTACCCACTGTATATACACAGAGTTTTTTTTTCTCTCTTTTCATATATATTCAAATACATATAAAATCCTGAAAAAATCCTGTTATTGTTTAAATTATATATTGTATATAATTAGGCTTAGATTTAATTTCCTATCTTTAAAAAGTATACTTATAAAAATGTATAAACATACACATACATTAAACATACATTTTTATGTTTATGTGTGTACATATAAATATATACATAATGTTATATATTATTGACAGTTTAACCTTACTAGCCTTGTGTTCAAGATTATGAAACGAGGTGCTGATATTTCTACTTTTTTGCTTGTTTTGTTTTGTTTTAAAGGAAATGAAAACAGAGAAAGTTGCCATTGGTTCCCAGTGGCAAACAGGTTCCACAATTTGTCTCATCTCACCAAAAAAAATATGGCTTGCTTCACCTCTAAGATTAACCTTTTACACATATTGCATTTTGAACTGCTGTAGATGCTGCAGTGATTTTTGTTTGTTTTAACCACACTTACAGAACGCATTTCTGCCCCAACATGTTCAATAACCCTTTTTTTGAGCCTTGATAGAGTGACTCACAGCAACAAAGCTGCTTTTAGTCACAGTTCCCCTTAATTCTTTCAAGTTCATATGAAATCCTGCCTGCACCGCAAAACAAGCTCGAAAAAATAGGACAGATCTCAGGTGAAGAACATGTACCGGCACGTCTTTCAAGATTAGAAAACACTCATAAGCACTAAAATGAACAAAGGAGATGGTTGTTTTCAGATGCCGGAGCTTCTCCTGAAAGAGTCGCACAAAACCCACCTCCTGTTTCACTACTAAAAATTATTTTCTTAATCAGTCATTTTTAACAGTAAAAAATATAAAAAAATTCTTAATAAATTCTGACAAATTTGATTTAGTTTCTAAAGCAAATGTAACTTGTTTTAAGGAAGTTTAGATATTTTACTGTAAAACATGACACATACTGATTAAAAGTGTTTTGTAAAGTTAAAAGTGTGATACATGTGTCTATTTGGCACCAGAAATGCTTACTAGAGAGGTTATGACTAAACCTCATCAAATGGGGGTTCCTCTGTGGTTTCTAGTAAGTTTGCCATTTAAGTGAACACTCTTTCCCTTTAATCGTATTAAACGGTTGTGGAGAAGGACAGAGCACCATGTTTTCTGCAGATGTGCACAGTGTTGTAAGAGCCCTTTGCATGTATGCATTTATTACATGGCATAACGAACAACAGCGGTGAGAGGGTTGGGTACCGCAGGACAACAGAGCCTCAAAGCGGCCACAACTATTTTAAAAGAAGACCTTGAAAGATTTTAAATTGTGTAATGGACCATATAATGTCAGCACTGCTACAGATGGAACAGCATTCAGGCATAAACAATAAAAAATAAAAAAAATCTAATTTGTTAAAAAAAATTAAAAAAATACAGCTACAGTTGTTGTTAAGCAACAACCAATCCTAAACCAAGTAGTGTTCGCTCGCAAAACTCTTGAGCATTTTGCAATCTAACAAAGTTTCTCAGGGGAATGTAAAGGTTTTGCGAGTGAGTGCAAAATGTATTGGCGAATGCAAAGGTTTAGTGAGTGAACACAAATTTCCTTGTGGGAACCAAAGTTTTGAGAGCAAGAGCAATGTTTCTTGGGAAACGCAAAGGTTTTGTGAGTGAACGCAATGTTTCTTGGGGAATGCAAAGGTTTTGCGAGCAAACAAAGTTTCTTGGGAAACAAAGGTTTTGTGAGTGAACGCAACATTTTTGGGAAATGCACATTTTTGAGTAAACGCAAAGTTTCTCTGAGTGAATGCAAAACTTCTTGGGGAACACAAAGGTTTTGTGAGTGAACGGAGTTTCTTGGGAAACGCAAAGGTTTTGTGAGTGAACGCAAAGTTTCTTGGGAAACGCAATGGTTTTGTGAGTGAACGCAATGTTTCTTGGGAAATGCAATGGTTTTGTGAGTGAACGCAACATTTTTGGGAAATGCACATTTTTGAGTAAACGCAAAGTTTCTGCGAGTGAATGCAAAACTTCTTGGGGAACACAAAGGTTTTGTGAGTGAACATGAAGTTTCTTGGGAAACGCAAAGGTTTTGTGAGAACGCAAAGTTTCTTGGGAAACGCAATGGTTTTGTGAGTGAACGCAATGTTTCTTGGGAAACGCAAAGGTTTTGTGAGTGAACACAAAGTTTCTTGGGAAACGCAATGGTTTTGTGAGTGAATGCAATGTTTCTTGGGAAATGCAATGGTTTTGTGAGTGAACGCAACATTTTTGGGAAATGCACATTTTTGAGTAAACGCAAAGTTTCTGTGAGTGAATGCAAAACTTCTTGGGGAACACTAAGGTTTTGTGAGTGAACGCAATGTTTCTTGGGAAATGCAATGGTTTTGTGAGTGAACGCAAAGTTTCTTGGGGAATGCAAAGGTTTTGCGAGCAAACAAAGTTTCTTGGGAAACGCAATGGTTTTGTGAGTGAACGCAACATTTTTGGGAAATGCACATTTTTGAGTAAACGCAAAGTTTCTGTGAGTGAATGCAAAACTTCTTGGGGAACACAAAGGTTTTGTGAGTGAACGAAGTTTCTTGGGAAACGCAAAGGTTTTGCGAGTGAACGCAAAGTTTCTTGGGGAAGCAAAGGCTTTGCAAGCAAGCAAAATTTCATGGAGGAATGTGAAGGTTTTGTGCATGAACACAAAGTTTATCAGGGCAATTTATTGGAAAGAATGCAGAAGCCTTTATATATAAATATATATTTCTTCCACCAATCTCACATCTTCCTTCACAGTGACTCTGTTGGAAGCAATTAAAAAATAAACAACTGTATGGATATTGATTATTAAATCAATGTTCAATGTTACGCAAGGATCCTATTTGTGGACTTCAGTTCGGCCTTCAATACTCATAATTATACATCGTCCATCACAACTAACATAGTTGTATTTATATTAAACTGCACACTTTGTAAATAACATATCTGCACACTAATAAACATATCTGTACATTTATCTAAACAATTCATTTTTTCCTATACTTCTATTTCTGTATATAGTACATTATTAAATTTTTCTAATTTTTCTTTTTTTATTATATTAGTGTTATATTACATCCCTACTGTGTTATTCCTATGTATGTCTGCACTATCATGTATGTCTGCACTATGTTTGTACTTTCTTCTACACTGGAAGCTCCTGTCGTCAAGTCAAATTCCTTGTGTGTAAACATACTTGATAATAAATCTCTTCTGATTCTGATTCTGATGTTTTGATCACATAAATATGCTAATAAGGTGGTTAATTGAGGGTTTACAAATGTACAGAGTGAAATCTATTAATTCTGTGTTTATGTGCTAACTAGCTAGGACCACATCTAGCATTTATTTTTCTCCACTGGGCAGCCCCGACCTCTGTGAAATTTCATTGCTTCTCATTAAACATTAAACATCACATTTTCTTGCTGGCTGTGATTGAGTCATATTATAAGGCGGCGTTTGTTTTTTGTAGCGAGTTTGTACATACAAAATGCTTGTCGCTCAAAAAGCGCATCAGCTGTATATTTTGGGGGGGGTCATGTGTGGATTTATTTTTTTTTACATTAAATTATCCTGTGATGCTTGTAATTTTTTATCTATCTAGACTTGCACAGAACATAACCATTTATGCACGTGAAGTTAATATTTACAACAAAGAAAGCAGGTACTGTTTCACTGGTGTGGTTTCTTGTCCATTTTTAACAAAGAATTTCTCAAAAGAGGAGTTGTGCAACGGATTAATGTAACCTTTACCTCCAAACATGCCATGAGACAGCAAAGAAAGAATGCAGCGTACTTCTGAAACACAGGCGTCTGCTTTTATCTGCAGTTCGTTCAAGAAATAACTGAGTACTGGGCTGTGAATCTTCACATATCTTCATTATACTGTACAAAGTCTCCCAGACACATTCTCTTTATCTTCAAAAACACTACCTCATGAAAACAAAGTGATCTCATCTGGCCAAAAACAGATTTTCACACATGTGAGCGATTGGCGTGAAAGACAGACACACATCTAGTATGAGTTTCATGCTCTTTTTCTCCAAGGCCACTCGTGCTGGTGGTTTGATTCAGATGCCAGGCAGTGTAAAGATCGACCTTGTGCAAGATAATTATACAGGCCTGGAGGAAGCCTGTTGTGCAGGGAACAGACGACTCCTCCACTTTGGCACTATCTGCAACTTGAAGCAGTAAGAGATACTCCTAAAAACTGGTATAAAACCAGTTTTTTTTTTCTCTGCAACATGCATTGGTCTGACATAATTACTGAATTTCTCCAAAAAGACCTGCTTAGACCAGTATAAACCAGCTTTTGTGATGGCGAGTGGACCAATTCATAATAAAAGACAAAGAAAAACAAAAGGCAAAAGAAATTCAACCTTGGAACTTCTGATAGCAATCAGCTAATGCAAGGGTGGGAGGTTTCGTGTTTTGTGTTTCATTGTTAACTCTCGCATCTCATTGTATGTTAACTCTTCAGTTTCTCGTCTCATCTCCTCATTCAAGTTTAACATCTCCAAAAAAATATGTATATGTAGTAGATGCCTGCCCGTGGTTAACAGGATATGAGATCACATCCTTCCAATCTAAATATATGTCATGTCTGTAATAAATCTGCAGAAATATTTACCCACCCTGTCCCATATCACCCACACATGAGTAGGTTACAAGTTTGGCAAGAAACATTTGAGACCCCACAAGCCTCCATTGTGAGCTCCATTAACATATTCAGCAGTCTGGGAGTGTTTATCATGCTTACAGACTAAAGGCGTGGACTTTAGACAGCTCATCAGAGCTATGGAGGCTTGTGGGAAAACTATAAACCAACATATCCTGTAATTGCCATTGAACTTTGAGTGATTGAGGAGTGATGATACAGTCTGATACATATCACAGACTGGAATGCATGTAGTGGTTCAATGTGCTGCATTTGTGCAATGAATTTACTTCCCATTTTTGTCAGGCTGATTTTAGTAATCTAGTATTGTTATAGTAAGAGACAGTTCACCAACAAAAAAAAAAAAAAAAAAAGGAGGAAAGAACATTCTGTAATTGTTTACTCAACATTATGTCACCAGTAGTGATGAACCACAATGAATATTACCCAACTGCCCAAATTTAATTAGTTTGGGTAATTAAATTTGGGCAGTTGGGTAATTTTTTCAGGGTGTTGTGTTTGCTGGTGATAAATTAAAATAGGTGTAGTGAAGGTCTTCAGAAACAAGGTGCCTTTCGAGATTTCATTTGAACAAATTTGACATATTGCTACTACACCACAGCTGACATGTTCATATCCTTGAAGAAGCTTCCTTGAAGAAGCTTGAATCAAATGTCACTGTTTCAGTTTCAGTTTGTGGTGATGCACCAAAATTTCTGCAACTGAAAAAGTCTGAAACTGCCAAAATATTCAGTGTGTTTGGCCATTTCGGTCTAGTATTTTCCACTGCAGAAATTTCAGTTCATCAATACAAACTGGTATAACAGGAATTGCCAAAAACAATGGATTTTTTATTTTACATGTGGCCAAGTATGGTAACCCATACTCGGAATTAGTGCTCTGCATTTAACCCATCCAAAGTGCACACACACAGCAGTGAACACACACCCGGAGCAGTGGGCAGCCATTTATGCTGCGGCGCCCAGGGAGCAGTTGGGGGTTCGGTGCCTTGCTCAAGGGCACCTCAGTCGTGGTATTGAAGGTGGGAGAGAGCGCTGTACATTCACTCGCCCACACCTACAATCCCTGCCGGTACGAGACTCGAACTCGTAACCTTTGGGTTACGAGTCTAACTCTCTAACCATTAGGCCGCGACTTCCCATGGTGGTGATGGTGGTGGGCCGAAACCAAAAAATAAGTATTTGCAGTTGCCAATATTTCAGTGCATCACTACAAACCAGTATGCATTCTGTTCTTCTATGGAACCCAGATGATATTAGATGAATGCTTTAACCATTTATGTCCATACAATGAAAGCAAATGGGGTCCAAAACCACTACAGCCCTTAATGAGGCTAGACACCATATTGAATTTAATGTTAAAATTATGCTGTGAGAGAAAGAGTACAGTCTTTACAATGGCACACATTGTATAAAGGTCCTAGATCAGATAATTTTCACTGTTTTATGGAGATCTTGAATACAGAAAGTTTTTTTTTCCTCAGAAAGATGTTTCATCAGCTGAACAATCAGTATGGTGTTAAACAACAGTACAATCCATTGAAAGCACTGTACTTCTATTCTTTTTTTTGTATTCCTGTCAAAAATTAAATATGGCGCTACCCAGACCCAGACTGTGTTACAAAGAAAGAAATTGACAGGTCTGGAACAACATGAACATTTTCATTTTTTGGGTGAATTAGCGAAACGCAAGACCAGACCTAAAGGAACATCTCCAGAACTTACCAAGTACGGTCATCACCGTTTTGATGAGCTTGACCGGCGTCCTCTTTCGATTTATAGATCCAGAAGTGTGCGCCTTCAGGACAACAGTCTTTCTCATCACATAGATGTAAATCCTCAAGTAAATGCCCACCATGATGAGGAAGAGCACCAGGTTCGACACAGACCAGAAGATCAGGTAGCTCCGGCTAAAGATGGGTGCCAGTTTGGAGCACAGGTCCAGACTGCAGATACAGTTCCAGCCCAAACTAGGAACGGCCCCCATGAATATCGATATACCCCACACAAGGGCAATCAACAGGGTCACCCGACGTTTGTTGAGGTTACTGTGAACCTTCCAGTTCATGATGGAGATGTAGCGCTCGAGGGCAATCACCAGGAGGTTTGTCAGGGATGCGGAGAGACTTGCGTCCAGCAAACCCTGCCGAAAGAAGTAGCCTTGAACAGTGAGATCGCGAGATATTTTCCCTGTATTGAACATGAGATACACATAAGCGATCCCGGCGAGAAAGTCTGAGGCGGCAAGGTTGGCGAGGAGATAGTAGAAGGGGTAGTGAAACCTTCTGTTTGTCACCACCGCCGCAATAATCATGGCATTGGCCACTAGGATGAAGCAACAGCAGATGGATCCAACGACCTGAACCAGGATGAGCTGCGTTTGGTCCCATTCATCTGAGGTTATGTTGCTGTTGTTGTAGAAAAAGCCCATGGGCTGATCATGGTAGCAAACGTTAGACTTGGCCATCTTTAGACAAAAACCACTATGACTGGAAAGAAAAACAACACATCAGTGTATTGTCTGAGACTATAAAGCTTCAATTATTTCAGTTTGTTTTTCATATGAGTCATTTATCTGAAAACCCATAATTCAAAAATACAAAAACGCCACCAGGGTAACACACATGACAAAAATACAATAAACTAAACAACAAAGAATGCAACATAAACACTCAAATGTACATAATTATTAACGGATAGATTGACTTTTTGAATAAAATCCAAATACATGCTATAATAATCGCCCTTTAAGCATTACATTTTATTTTACCATAAGTACACTATACACTTAGATAAAATAGTTTATGCTTTTTACATTTGAAACATTTTTGCAGTGTTTTAGAATAAAATTACATGTATTTTGTTTTAAAGGATAAAATTTTTAGTTCAAATGTTACATTTGTACTGTGGCATTTTAACGTTTTTTACATTTTTAAACAGTTTTTCTCAGGTTTTATTTCCATTTTAATCACATTTTGTCTTCACTTGTTGGTTTTCAACTGTAATGTAGTCTCTAATTATTTAGTCTGAGCCATGACATGCTGTTTCAGATAGTTTTACATGCACGTTATACCGCAGAATACTACCAAAACAAACCAAATCAATCAAAATCCCACGTGAAATCAAGTTTTGGCGATGTTATCCCCTTAAAAACTTGACCAAATATATGAAACTCGTATCAGTGATATATAAAGCTCTCTTACCAGTGACAGACTCGTCAGGTTCTCAGCTCGCGCTCCATTAGAGGTCAAAAGTATCGCGCAAATCCGGCGTGACTCCACAAACACAAGGCGACTCTGAGTCAAGTATCTGAAGAAGTTTGATCTTGAGTTTTAGGGAGGAGAGCGGGAGGGATAGACTCATTGTGGGCGTGGTCACGGCTTTCAATGGTTCATAAAAAGTAAATAAAACTTCACGTAATGAAAAGAAAATAAGACTAACTTTGCAATGTATCTCACGAGCCGAAGAACTCAGGTAATTAACGTTACGTGTTTAAAGAAAAACACTTTACTAGGTTCAAACGAAGTCAGGTTGTGTCATTTGTAGATAAATTACGTGTTTATGGGCGGCTTTTTCTTTGTCAGCGTCTATTTCGTAAAGTTACGCAATTTTATTCAGGTGTGTGAGGTAAGGGAGGATCCACAACATTGAACATGAACAAATATGGAGATTTCGATCAATAATACATTGAGATTTAACGTTAGTCTGAGTTATTTTATCTTCTTGAACCTATTTTTGAATATTTAATCATTTAAACTGTCACAATGAACATAAGAAAATATGCATTGTCTAATGTATTGAGGGTATGAAAATTGACCAATATATAGCCTAGGAGATACTGTACAAACCATATTCATTAAGAGATTGGTTATTTTGGTACCATATACTGCGCTGCATGTCTTCATTCTGGTTGTAAATATATGAAATCTTTGATGTTCTGAAAATAGAAAAGTTCAATTGTATACCACAAACAATAAAATAAAAGTAAATCAGTGTTGGGGCAGGTAGACCAGATAAATCACAGATTTCAGGATTGAGTTTAATTTCTTATAGAAACAAGAAGTGAAGCCGTTATTCTAAAAACCAAGCACTTCTGAATTAATTGGTTTTTGAGGTCAAGAAAGCACCTTTAGCAAAACTCTCTCTTTTAACAACCCCTAAAAGACAAACCCCTTGTGCAAACACTCAGCATGCTCCTCTGTCCGTCAATGGTGTGACTGTGGAGAGGGTGAGCAGCACCAAGTTCCTGGGTGTGCACATCACAGAGGATCTCTCCTGGACTGACAACACCACAGCACTGGCCAAGAAAGCACAGCCAAATCATTATATCTGCACTGTTGTTTACTTCACTGGTTTGCACTCTATCTGCCGTGTGCTGCTTTATATATATATATTTTTTTTTTGTTTGTTTTTTTGTTTTTTTGTACATTTTACCTTATTTGTATATTTGTATAGTTGTATTTTATACTTAATCTGTATATCTGTATTTATGTTCTACTGTTAGTGTTATCTGTATGCACCAAGGGTCTGAGAGTAACGCAATTTCAATTCTCTGTGTGTATGTGCTGTACATGTGGAAGAATTGACAATAAAGCAGACTTGACTTGACTTGACTAAAAAACATGTCACCAAGTTTCTAGAGTGCATTTTAGCATGATTTCTAATTGTACTGCTTTGAATAACAAAGCAACCCAAAAAAGAAAAGCACACACAAAGGGCCTCTTGTAGTTTGCAAATACAAAATACTTTTTATTATCTTCCATTCCCTCACCCAAGGTCTTTCTCCCAGTGAGCAATTGCTTACTAAGCAAGTCACATGGGAACTTGTCTGCCTTCCCTGTTAATTGTGGGATGATGATGATGATGATGATGATGAGCTGTGATTCACATCATAAAGTATGATCATATTCTCCACCAAGACAAAAGTTGCCTCGGCTGAGTGAACAATGCATTCTTAGAACTCCGGTGTTGCACATACGCATTACAGTCATTCCTTACGCACTTCACATATTTGAAGCACAATATTAAGAGACTTCATCTTTCAAATATTTCTAAACATCTTTGAGGTAACATGCCAAAGGGCTGATATAAAAATCAACACAAATGTGTAATTTGAAGCAACTCTCTAATGTACAGGTGCATCTCAATAAATTAGAATGTCGTGATTAGCTGATTGGCATGTCACCATATTCTAATTTGTTGAGATAGTGAATTGGTGGGTTTTTCTTAAATGTGAGCCAAAATCATCACAATTAAAAGAACCAAAGACTTAAACTACTTCAGTCTGTGTGCATTGAATTTATTTAATACACGAGTTTCACAATTTGAGTTGAATTACTGAAATAAATGAACTTTTCCACGACATTCTAATTTATTGAGATGCACCTGTAAAACATGAGCAGACAATCCACATAAATAATATCATAAAAGATATTTCCTCTACTATCCAACATTAAACGGATAATTTTACAGATTGCACATCAAAATGCATCCAACATCATCTGCGGTTGTCATTTGACCCACAAAACGCTTAATTTTTTGCTCTTAATTGCATTGTAGTGCACTTTGGCAGATATGATTTGGCATTTATCCGTTTGCTAATGCAGGTCTTACCGGATCCTAATGAAATTGGCATGTTCACAGGAAGATCTTGCTTCCTGTGTAGTACATGAACCATGTACATGGAGCGGTAAACATGCTCACATAATCTTTCTATTATTAAGCTGCAAATCCATTGCAGTTTTCAGTAGATTCAACATCGAATCTGTCGCAATGGTCAACTGATGAGAATGATGGTGTCGTCTTTGGGAACACTGCAGAAAGAGGACAAATTAGGTATATTGAGTTGGCATTTCATATATTTGTGCATAGATGATCTGAAACCAGTCTTTGAAACAGTTTCTGTTGTCTTTGAACCAACTTACAGTACAATTTTGAGTTCTGATGGTTTTCAGTGCAGATTTTGGTTGCACCGCTTTCAGCCTTTATATAAATGTGTTTGGTTGCAGTTCCCAAAGGAAGTGAAACTAAAGATTCCTAAACAAACTCAATTTTTGAGTCCTGAAAACTCTGCAGGTTAGTTTCATTGCAAATTAGGTAAATTCCTTAAAATCGAACGGTCCCTGTAAGTCTTTTTGTTAAGAAAAAAGTTGGTTCTATTCTATTTCTATTCTATAGTTTGGGGTTAGTATTAAATTAAATTGATTACAGTTGTTACAAAAATGCAAAAATAAATTACATTTAAAATATATTAAAATAGAAAACATTTTAAATTGTAACAATATTTTACATTTTTAATGTTTTTACTCTAGGCCTTTATATTTTTGCTAATATAAATGCAGCCTTGGTGAGCATATACTTCTTTCAAAAAAAAAAAAAAATAAAATAAAACGATTAGATAGATAGATAGATAGATAGATAGATAGAAATGTGGTATTTTAATTTAAATTAAAATTTATAATTCATATATAATTTATATTTAAACGTGAATTGTTTAGAATTTTTTTTTAATAAAGAATAATTTTGAAAATGTATAATATAAGAGGTGATAAATGATGCCAATATAGACTGAATCAGTCAGCCAACCAGGAATAACAAGTTCCTCTTTCTGCCAGAGGAAAAGATAATGAAATATAATTCTGGTCCACTTGTTGAGCAGGAATACCAGTTGATCTAATCTGAAGATGATGGAAGATTCTCCTAAAACCCAATTTAATCCCAAAGTACTGTAATATCCATGCTGAAATCCAGTCAGTGCAGCATAAGAGGCTTTTAACCTGATATTTAGTCGCAGCATTAAATTATAGCCGGGCTTTCCATCGCATCTGACACTCAAGCAAACAATGAGTCCTCCATTCGGAGTTCAGTTTCACGTTTTCTCGCATTGCAACCCAAAACAGCTAGAAACTTACAAGACAAAAAGCTCTAGCAATATTCCCCAGAGGGAAAAAAAAGCTCAGTAACAATAATGGGCATCAATATGGGGGCAACTTTTTCATTTCTAAACTCTCGTTTGTTTATCGTTCCTGCTAGGCAAGGGCAAGCCTTCTCAATTTTTTCCCCCCACAGAGAACATTTCTCTGTAATCAGCACTTTGCTGGGTGTGTCCGTCTTTCTCTCCCACCACTAATTCCATTTCTCATGCCATAGTGGGCTGACCTCAGCTCTGGAGGAAACACTGCTGCCCTGCAGCTGATGTCTACGATTATATGCTGTACCTTTTGCAGCAACACAGCATAACTGAAGGGTGGACGGTTTCGGCTTCACCACACTCTGTGCCGACCCCCTCCTGCCCCTGGAGGGGGAAATCCTCCTTCTGCCCCATCAGAAACCGCTGGAGCTCTGTCATGGGGAAGCCTGTCGTTTGGTAACCCTAGACAAAAAGGAGAAGTTGATATGAAGCGCTAAAAACAAGTACAGTATAGTAAGTACAGTACAGCTTTTTATTTGTTGAATTTTATTAAACCAGCAAGGAAAGTTATAAAATTATGCCACCATTTACTCACTCTGATGTTGTCCTGAATAAGATTGATTTATTTATATTAATTCTTTGCCGTTTAAAAAAAAAAAAGAACAAAAAGAAAAACAAAACAAAAGCAAAACAAAATCCAAACAAAAAACAGAACAAAAAGAAACTAAAAACCCAAACAAAAAACAAACTCCCACAAAAAATAAATAAATAAAAATAAATAAATAAACCAAAAGCAAAAAATCCAAACAAAAAACAGAACAAAAAGAAACTAAAAACCCAAACAAAAAACAAACTCCCACAAATAAATAAATAAAAATAAATAAATAAACCAAAAGCAAAAAATCCAAACAAAAAACAGAACAAAAAAAAAAACTAAAAACCCAAACAAAAAACAAACACCCACAAAAAAAAGAAAAAACAAACAAACCAAAATCCAAACAAATACCCCCCCCCCCATAACAAAAAATCAAAACACAAAATGTTCTTTCCCTTTCCTCAAATATTTTGTCTAAAATTATTAGTAGTAGTAGTAGTAGTAGTAGTTAGTTAGTTAGTTAAGCCTAAGAAATAAAATAAAATGGGTTTGCAAAGATATCCATAATAGTGACAGTTTTGAGTTTTGTGTGACCTAACCTATGAAGATAATTTTAAAAAATTATAAATAAAAACAAAAATAAAATATTAACACTTTTCAGTTTAATATACAGGAAGCCTTAAAGGGAAGACACTCTTTTTTTGCATAAGATAATAAAATGAGTTTGGAAAGACAGTAAATGATGACAGTTTCATTTTTATGTGAACTAATCTGTTAAGAGAATAAATAAAGATATTTTTTGCACAGTAATAGATGCTAATTTGATCCATTATTACATCACTAATAAGGCCTCTTCCTTCAAACCCTAAATTCAATAATAATCAAATGTATTTATTATATTACCATTGCTCTTTTTGACAGTTTATTTTATTATTTATTTATTTTTTCATGGGATAATGGAAGGGGGCTAGAATATAATAGGATGAAGGGGGATAACAAGAGTTGGAAATGTTTGCAAGCCGGTTCAAACTCGCATCCATGTAAGCATTGCAGTCCAATGTGTTGGAATGTGTGCTAACTACTAAACCATGAAGAAATGCTAGAAAGTAGTCACAGTAGGTTAAGCTGAGAGTACCTTGATCGTCTCGTAAGCGTCTGTGATGAGGGCAATGAAGAGACTGAGCACCATGTAGATGAAGAGGGAGATGAACGAGTAGAGATAAGCTCGGCTGAACAACCACACCATTGT